TACAATAATGGAAGCAGGCAATCTTAGTCCTAACAGATCTTCCTTTCTCTCCCAAGCTGGTAGACAGATACTGGCTCTTGCCAGACTGCTATCATCAACAGATTGAGTTGACAAGTTTGTAATGAAGGAAAACTTGGAGGGACGAAGTGTAAGAAGTACCCTCATCATTTATGATCTCTGGGCATATGGCTAGAAACAGGAGGAGACAAAACATTGTGCCTACTGACATTTGCCAGTCCTACAGTGAATTTTGATTAAAAAATACATGAATGTTCCCTTTTTTGAGATGTCTATTGTCACCACCTTAATATAAAAAAAATCATTTGTTCCCTTTCTTGAGATGTCTATTGTCACCACCTTAATATAAAAAAAATCATTTTTTCCCTTTCTACAGTAAGCATGCCCTCATTATTAGGAGTATTAAATCATCGAGAAACACTGAAGTCAGCTAAGTCCCTTTAGCCAAGTACAGGAACTACACTAGCCAAAATGCTCTGGGTGAAGTTCATTACTTAATCATCCACCTTCCAAAAGCAAAGTATCTTTTTCTAGTTTCTTAGATATTATCTGTAACCCATAACTTTTGAGTGGTTTGACTTATCAACAAAGGCCTGACGATAATTTAGTGGAACTACTTCCTAGAAGAGAAGGCCGAGTTTGAGAAGAGAGTCCTTAAAGCACAGATTAACATTTTCTTGGCTAAATGTTCCAAGCACATTTGTGGAAGGTACAGAGCTGTCCACTTGGGCATTTAAAAGGGCTACAGAGACCTGGGATCCTTCCATCTTTGGAGGCTCTTAGCTTACTAAAATTTTTTTGAGTGCCAAAATAGACTTATAATAGTTGAAGTATAGCATGAATACACGTAACAAATTAATACTTAGACAGAAAAAAAAGTGCAATACAACTCCGTTATTTAAAAGATAATAACAACATTCATAAAAGTCATTGCTCCACATAATGGAGGTGGACAGTTAATGGAACATAAGCTTAAAACTATACGACATCTTTCAATGTCATCAGTATACCCCATTTGAAGATCTACATTTGAGCCCTTTCACAAGTACGGGTCTTGTATAAATAGCCCTTCAGGTCTCCACTAGGACAGGGGTGGTCCCAACTCCTTTAGCCCAAGAAAGCACTTCAAAAATAGACATTAGAGGCAATGGATATCCTAAATACCTGGCTTACACATTCTAGGAGTGTAACAAAATTTCACACATACCCCATTAATATGTACAAAGATTAGGTATCAAAAAAGTAGACCTTAGACTTCGTTTTGGGAAATGATGGTTTCTGAGACACTCCTGTCTCCTTCCACTGAGCCTCCTTCTAGGTAACATTTTTGACGGTCTATTTTGAGTGTTTATGACTTAGGAAGTTATATACCTTGGTTCCTTGTAGGAATGATCCAGAATGCTTATTCTTCACAGGAATGTCCTTTGACAAAAATACAGTGCAACATAACTGCTATTTTATCTTTATTTTATTTATTTTGAGACAGGGCCTCACTCTGTCACCCAGGATGGAGTGCCTGGTGCGGTCTTGGCTCACTGCAACCTCTGCCTCCTGGGCTCAAGTGATCCCCCTACCTCAGCCTCCCAAGTAACTGGGACCACAGGCATGCACCACCACGCCCAGCTAATTTTTGTGTTTTTTGGTAGAGATAGGGTTTTCCCATGTTGCCTAGGCTGGTCTTGAACTCCTGGGCTCAAGCAATTTGCCCACCTTGGCCTCCCAAAGTGCGGAGATTATAGGCATGAGCCACTGCGCTCGGCCAATAATTGCAACTTTAAAGATAACTATGCTTTTTAGCACAATCCTTGTTGAAGAATCTCTGTAACAGTGTAAACTGGTCCATCTCCAAGAGTGCCGGACCTGGGGATTTGGTCACATGAATATGGGTTCAAGTTCTGCTGCACCAAGACTAGTTAAGTGACACGAAGAAATTACTAATCCCTCTGAGCCTTGATTTCAACTGCAGAATGGGGATAATAATAGTCCTTATCTCACAGGGTGGTCTGAAGATTGAATGGGTTGCCGCAATGAGAGCACTCCTGTGCTGCCTGGCATCTACCGGGCACTCAGATGTTCCTCGTTATCGCTGTTATTCTTTTCCCAAATGCAGACTCAAATTTTCAGAAACAGAGCTATACGTAGAAGGTAAAAAGTTCAAACCTCTTTTTTAAACTACTTTTTGATGTTTTTAGACATTTCAGATTTTTACTTAAAGAAGTTTAGAGGCACTAATTACTCTGATGAGCTCTGAAATGGGTAATAGCCCTTATGTAGTGCCAAGGCTTGGCCTCCAGATGTCAGTATGAACTCGATTGATTGAGGTGGTTACTGTTTGAACCAGTTGGATGGTTAAAGCTCCTCTCTGCTTATCTATTAAATAACATTGCAGATGCACAATCATTCTTTGATTTTAAAAAGGTAATAAATATATACCTTTTGATCTATTACTTTGGAGGACATTAAAGCATAAAGCTGGTATGGAAAATATGCAACAAGTATATGAATCTGAAAATACCACTTCAAGAAAGTTGGAAACCATTACCACAAATAAAAACGTGGAAAGAGTGTTAAATTTAACAATTGCTCTTGGAATAAAAGTATTATTTACATAATTATGACATCTACCCTATGAGTCCTCAAAAATTATTCAACAGAAATCAGAGGCCACATCTGATATTCCTTACATTCTACAGCTGTGCAGTAAATATTTCGAGCCATTTCCATTAGAAAGTGGGATTAAAAATAGATCCATGTCTATGAAGACCATGTGAAAGTAAATTGCTCCAGAAAGTGTCCCAGATTTATTATGGGTGTTGCTACAGAAACCTCAAGAAGAAGTTTGCTCTTAGAGGACATCCTTTTTTATTCTATGTGTTCAATAAACACGTATTGAGCATCTACTACATTCCAGGTAGATTTTAAGTGTTGAGAATACAGCAGTAAACAAAGCAGACAAAATCCCTGCCCACATGGTTTATGGTTTAGGGAAAAGAGACAGAGAGTACACACAATAGATAAATGAATAAACAAAATAGTATAGAAGATAAGTGCTACAGATCAAAAATGGGAAAGAAGGCAAACATTTGAAATACAGTGGTTAATGCAGGACAAATTGAACAAGTGACATTTAAGGAAACACTTGAAGCAAGTGAGGGAGCAAACCAGAGGTATATTTGGGAGAAGAGCACTCCAGGTAGAGGGACCAGCAAAGGCAAAGTCCAGGGACAGCAAAAATGCTAGTGTGACTGGAGCAGACTAGACGGGACTCCTTCCAGGATTTCTGGTAGAGTCATGGCATGATTTGACTTTACTGAAACCCATCTGGTTGCTCTGGTAAGAACAGGTGGCAAGTGTGGAACAGGGCCAAACAGGAAAACCAGCCAGGAGGCAACTGCAATACTCTAAGGTAAAGACTGGGGGTTTAGAAGAAGATTTCAGGTGGAACATCTAAAGATGGTTGTTCAAGTGAAGATAGATATCCGGATGCCTCTACAGCCTGGAAAGGTCTGTTAGTTTAAGGATGAACCTGTTTTAAAGTCCATTCTAAAACAAACAAAAAAATCCCACCCATAATCCTTTTATACTAATGAATTACATCTTGAAAGCCTATTATAGAAGTTAAGAGAAAAAAAGTCTTATTTTATAATAGTGCAAAAAGAAGAGTCAGAAAAAAAGTCAGCATGACGAATATATAAAACTCAAATACATAATGAGTACATGACAAATACATAAAACTAATATTTATGGGAGACAAGATGCAAAGTTTCTTCTGATCTTGACAAAAATATTGAAACCAGATTTCTATCTTACAAAAAAGAAAATTTCTATCTTAAAGAAAATTCCATTTTCTCTGGAATCCTAATCATTTTTTTCTTATACCAAACTTATCTCAGAAATACCAATTCAGTTTTTAAAAAGTCAATAGACTCTGTTTTAGAGTAGTTTTAGGTTTACAGAAAAAGGAATTTAAAAGACAGCATTCCCACATACTCCTTCTCCCCCTGCCCCACTCTCAACTAATGCAGCCCTCACCCACACTAATGCAAGATTTTAATAACTCATTGATACATTATGATCAATTGGAGTCCATAGTTTACATGAAGTTTCACTCTTCGTGTTGTACAGCTCTATTGGTTTTGACAAGGGCCTAACATTATGTATCTAACATTGCAATATCATACAGAATAGTTTCACTGCTCTAAAATTCTCCTGTGCTCCACCCAGTCATCTTCTTCCTTGCCCAGAACCTCTGGCAACCACTGATTTTTTTCTATCTCTATAGTTTTGCCTTTTCCAGAATGTCATATAGTTGGAATCATATAGTATGTAGCCTTTGAAAATTGGCTTCTTTTATTTAGCAATGTACATTTAAGGCTCTTCTCTGTCTTTCTGTGGCTTGATGGCTTATTTTTAAAATTGATTTAGTTGGAAGCGTCTGTGTGTCCCTCCCTCTGTACTTGTATAAAGAAATATTTCATCTATCCTGTATTACCATCTTTGTATGCAGAACTCTAAACTTCATTATGTACCCTTCCCACATGCCAGCAGGCATTGTTGATTATGGTGACAAACAATATTTTCATTAAAATGAGATCCATTTGTTCTGGTAAGTGTTCCAATAAGGAGACTACAAAATATCATGTAAAGACCCATTGTCACTGGCACCTGATCCAAGTCATCGCTGACTTGGGTCCATTTTATGACCCACTCTTGACATTTCCTATTTGCTGTACTTCAGGAAAAAGAATCCAGTTTTTCTCTCTACCCCACCTCCACTGTGTGTCAAAGAAGGTGCACAGATACCAGCCTGGGCAACAGAGTGAGACTCCATCTCAAAAGAAAAAAAAAAAGAAATACGTAACATCTATGGAAGGCGAAATTATGACACTAGCTGGCAACAAACACTGCAAAGTCAGCATGTTTTCCTGCCAATGTGGTGTATGTTCTTAACTCAAAACCTAACACTGTTCTTTCTCTCACAGACTGAAGACTGAGATCTGTGGAATGGTGGTGACATTTCTCAAAAGGACATGGAAGGATCCACCCACAATTTTTTTTTTTTTTTTTTTTACATGACATGCCCATATTCCTGCCTGTGATGGGATACAGATTTTATTATCCGAGGAGGAATGCTCTCTCTAGAGGACAAGAATGGTTCCACTAAACTGGAAGTAGAGACAGTCATCTGATGCTTTTGAGGTCCACATTTCACTGAGGTAAAAGGCAAAAAAGGAAGCCATGCTGTTGTTTTATGTGATTGCTCATGACTGTCAGAGAAATGTAGTTAGTGCTAGATAATGGGAATATAAAGTAGTATAGAGGAAATCTGGTGTGCCCAGTAATGAACATGGAGCATAATTTCTGGTTGGTCTCTTGCCTTATATATGTCTTCCAGCATGCCCACTTCCTTCAGCCTCTTCATTCCTTCTTGTACCTCCCCCTGCCATCTGGTGGGCCAACCCAGGAATTCCCATTTCATTCAGTGCTTCCCATTACTTTTCCATGCTTCCAAGAACCACGCCAGCAGCACATTTTCCCTTCCCCTAGAGTCCTTTTTCAGGGTGTTAAATCCCGTCCATAAGCAAGTGCAACCAAGCCAGTGATTTCTTGCAAGACCAGTTTTATATTTTGTGCACCTTGATCAAGTAGCCTCAAAATCCAATCCCAGTTACAGGCCAATGAATTCTTGTAATTCCTCATTACATAGTATCTTTTTTCCTTAATCCCACCCAGCATGTTTCTTGACAGTTTGTGTAGGGATTTAGCTCTAGTTATTGGTCTGGCAACCAGGAGAGGAGGTGAGGATGTAACACGGTAACACAACAGAAGCACATGCTCTTATTAGGGAAACATGGGCCACCTTTCCAAGGCTAGAGGGTCCAGAGGTAGAAGATGCAGAGTCAACAGTCCCTTAGGAGTACCACCCAGATTTCTCCAATCTCATGTTTCAAGAAGGCCCATTAGGGCCCTGGATTTTGCATAATGCATCTGCCTTGAGTATTCAAAGGTCACTAGAGCACTGTGACTCTAAGGACTAGGTTTTCAGTCTCTTGCTCAGCTATGCCCTTCTGCTGAAGGAAACAAGGGTCTTTTTATAAGATACATAGAGGCTCTCTGGCTCTCATATTTATCCATTACTGTAGACACACACATCTATATCTATCTGTTCTTCCATCCATATCTATATATCCATGTTTGCATCTATTATATTTAGAGAATTCATACTTTGAATTTTTTTAAAACATCACATTGAATAAGATGGAAAGGTAAGTTTCCTAATTTCTCCCAAAAAAGATGCGTACTATGATATAGGGACCATAGTTACTGAACAACAAATCCCTCGAGGCCATACTTTTTGAGTTAATATTGGAGAGCTAAAAAAAAATGCATACAATTTTAAGAAAATTAGATTGAGGCCAGGTGCGGTGGCTCATGCCTGTAATCTCAGTACTTTGGGAGGCGGAGGCGGGCAGATCATGAGGTCAGGAGATCAAGACCATCCTGACTAACATGTGAAACCCATCTCTACTAAACATACAAAAAAATTAGCCAGGCATGGTGGCGGGTGCCTGTAGTCCCAGCTACTTGGAGGCTGAGGCAGGAGAATGGCGTGAACCTGGGAGGCCAGAGTTTGCAGTGAGCCGAGATCATGCCACTGCACTCGAGCCTGGGCGACAGAGTGAGACTCCGTCTCAAAAAAAAAAAAAAAAAAAAAAAGAAAATTAGATTGATAATCAGAAATAATGTGTATAAAAAATATATCCAAATGAAAATAACTCCACAGATTTGTACATGTGTATTTCTACCTTTACTGAAAGTACATGGTGGGGGAAAAATGGAAACACAGCCTTCAGAATAAGCTGCTATTGAATAAAAAATGCCAGTCTGGATCCAAATATGGGGTGAGGCTGATGTGGGGAGGATTAATAAGTAAAGTTGAGACTTGCATTATATTTTAAAATTATTTTTAAGTGGACAAATTAACAAATTTAATGTGGAACTATAAACCCATATAAGAGGTTTACTGAGAAACATCTGGATCATTTTCTGTTCCTCCTTTCTCTTCTGAAACATTTGAAAGGCTTTGTGGAAACATTCTGCAGTCCTGATGAATGAAAACTATTACAGTATTGTATTCCAAGCTCTGGCTTCTTTTTTCTTCTACACCCTCTGTTTCAGATGTGTTCTTACTTAGTTTGTTTCCATTTTTTGCAAGAAGCTGGTTATTATATTAAATAGAAGAGCAATCCAGGGAAGACCATGGAGAATCCAAATTGATATTAAGAGTGAGTAAATGATGTGCTGATTCTCTTTCATAAGAAGAAATTACAGACAGGAAATAAAATGTAAATAATCATAGGTGAATTTTTCCCATAACACCTTCTTTTTATTAATACCTAAAAACATGGCTTCTTTGGTTGCAGTGAGCCAAGATGCGTGCCACTGCACTCCAGCCTGGGTGGACAGCGCAAGACTCCGTCTCAAAAAAAAAAAAAACCCAACAACAACCACCCAAAAAAAAAAAACCCAAAACCAAAAAACACATGCCTCCTTTTAGAATCTGATCTTAAAACCAGAAAGTAAAATTAAAGATTTCTAAAATTATCACTGCTTTCAAGGAAAAAATGGACTTTAATTACCAAACATTGGATTATGCTTTGAGTTTTTATAGCACATTTTGAGGGTGAAAAATTCACTTCCCCTTTGAAAATTGTTCTTTTGAATAAGGATAAGATTTTGAAATGGTCATTTATTTATATCTCTACCTATAGGAAAGCTTTAAAATGAGGAAAGGAAAATATAAATATGTAAAACATCTTTTAAAATAATATTCATTTTAAAAATAACAATGCAATCCACTCTACTGTGCCATTTATCTGCATTTCTGAGTTTAAAATTGTATAATTTATTGCTTTTGTTATAAAAAAATCTTAGGCAAACTCTTTGAAGGGGGAAAAAAATCACTCATAATTCAATAATCCTAACATGGCAGCTACTATAACTTTTACATTCCCTTCAGATCTTGTCATTTATTTTTCATGATTGAAATCTACATGTATGAGATGTAACAGAAAGAACATGGACTTTGAAGTCAAAGAGAAGTGACAAGAAACAAATTACATAATAAATAAATCTTGATTTATCATATAATACAATTTGTACTGTGCTAATTATGGCATAAAATAAAAAATTTAAATTATCAGACATTAAAGTTTTCAACATTATCTGCAAATTTACCTGGAACAAAAGACTACAGACAGAGAAATACAGTAGAACATATAAGTCCTTGAGAAAATGCAGGGGTGAAACTCATAGGGAAATTAAGACATTTAAAAACAGCTGTGTATAATGGGGGGAATTAAGAAAAAAGCACATGCACAGGCTCAGGGAAGATACATGCCCAAAAAAGACCAGAGAAGACAAGAGAATAAAAAATAATTATAAATCTTTGTTAATAGGTATACAATATATGAAATTGTAATTTGTAACATCAATAACAAAAGTGGAGTAGAGCTGTAAAAGAGTACAGCTGTTGTTTACAACCATTAAGTTGGTATCAGTTTAAAATAGATTGTTATAACTTTAGGATATTGTATATAATAATCCATGATTAAACCTCAAATAAAATATCTACAGAAGGTACTCAAAAGGAAATGAGAAGGGAGTCAAAATGTCTTCAATTTTCTGCTAATTACAGCATAAAATAAAAGAAATATTTTAAATTATACATTAGATTATTAAATATTATCTACAGACTCACTTGGGGCAAGAGACTACAGGCAGAGATTTCTTAATAAAGTATAATGCGTTTATTGTATAATTTGTCTCTGGTCACTACAAAGAGATCAACTAAACACGAAGGAAATCAATAAGGACGGAAACGAGGTGTAAAAATGTAAAATACACAGAAAACAACAAAATGACATAGAAAGCTCTCTCCTATCAGTATTTTAAATGTAAATGGATTAAACTTCCCAAAGACATTAGATTGGCAGAATGGATTGAAAAAACAATCCAATTATTTGTTTTCTACAAGAGACTCACTTTAGATTTAAGGACATGCATAGATTGAAAGTGAAAGGATGATAACAAGATAGTTCATGCAAATACTAACTAAAAGAGAAGTGGCTATACTACTATCAGACAAAATAGAATAAGTTAAAAACTGTGAAGAGAGACAGGAAAGGACAGTGTATAATAATAAAAAGGTCAATTTACTAGAAGATTTAACAGTTACGAACATATATGCACCAAACATAAGAGCTCCTAACTGCATGAAGCAAACACTGACAGAATTAAGAACAGGTCTTCCTATAATTATAGTAGAAGATGTCAGTGACCAACTTTCAATAATGAATAGAAGGACCAGAGAGAAAATCAATAAGGAAATTGAGGAACTGAAAAACACTAGACTAATTGGGCCTAAGAAAAATAAACAGAACACTCCACCCAACAGCCGAATACACATTTTTCTCAAGTATACATGTAACGTTCTCCAGGACCAACTATATTTTGGGTCACAAATCAAGTCTTAATGAATGTTAAAATATTGAAATAATACAAAATATCTTTTCCAATCACAATGGGATAAAACTAAAAATTATAGCAAGAAGGAAAAATGGAAAACCTAAAAATATGTGGAAATTAATTAACACACTCTTAAGCAACCAATGTGTCAAGAAATCACAAAAGAAATTAGAAAATATATTGAGACAAATAAAAATGAAAACATAACATACTAAAACTTACGAGATGCAGTGAAAGTAGTGCTAAGAGGGAAATTTATGGCTATAAATGCTTGCATTAAAAATATCTCAAATTGACAACCTAAATGTATACCTTAAGGAGCTAGAGAAAGAACAAACTAAACTCAAAACTGGTAAAAGGAAAAAAACGATAAAGCTTAAGGCAGAGAAACAAAACAGGTAACAGAAAGATAGGTGAATCAACAACACTAAAAGCTGGTTCTTCAAAAGACTGACAAAATTGACAAGTCTTTAGCTACATTGATTAACAAAGAAAGAAAGAGTCAAATAATGAAATTAGAAAAGAACAAGGGGACACTACAACCAACTTAACAGAAATAAAAAAGATCACAAGAAATTACTAAGAACATGGTATACCAACAAACCTGATAACTTAGATAAAATGGATAAATTCTGAGAAAAACACTACCTACCAAGACTGAATCATTAAAGAAAATATGAACAGACCTATAACTAGTATGCAGATTAAATCCGTAATCAAACATCTCTCAACGAAGAAAAGCGTAAACCCAGGTGGCATCATTGGTTAATCTATCAAACACAGTGTAAAGAAGACGTAACACCAATGATTCTCAAACTCTTCCAAAAAATAGAATAGAATACACTTCCAAATGTATTCTACGAGGCCAGCATTACCCTGATACAAAGACATTACAAGAAAAGGAAACTACAGACCACTATCCCTGATGGAAAATTGTAGGAAAAGGCAGTCATGCACGGATTCTTGTCCTCTGCATAGTCACATAAGACTGGCTGTGAGCCTGGAACATTTCCTTACAGGAAAATAAGGAGCCCTTGCAGCTTGTGCTGGGCATCATTTGGGTGTTTGGGAATATCTTTCCCTGTTGCAGGATTGGTGTATACTCCTTTGTTCTGCTTAAGCATGTGTGTCACTGGAGCCCAGGCTCACCCCTCACTTTTTATATTTCAGACCCCATGGGGAAGAGGTCAAGATTCTTCACTTGCAGTAGACAGTTTCCTTGCATTAGTTGTGAGGCAAAATCTGTTGGCCATGAAGGACCCTTGCTTGCCATTTAAGCTGATATTTTTCTGCCTGTTCTTTACGTAAGTAAAGCATTGCTCCATCCAATGCCTGTGTAAGCTGTGCCTTTCCTGGCAATTTTCTTGCAAGTTGGAAGACACATGCAAACCATCCAGGAGTTTGATGTCCTAAAACTGCTACTCATGGTGATAGGCAACAGACGTTATTTGCTTCACAATACTGGCACAAAAATCCTCAATAAAATACTAGCAAAGAGAATTCAACAGCATACCAAAAGAATTGTATGACTTGTCCAATTGAGATTATTCCTGAAATGCAAGGATAATCAAATATATGAAAATCAGTCACTATAATATACCACATTAGCAAAATGAAGAAAAAACCCATATGATCATCTTGATTGATGCAGAAAAAGCATTTCACAAAATTCAACACCCTTTCATGATAAAAAAAAAAAAATACTAAATGTTTAGAGAAAGAAGCAAACTACCATATAGAAAGGAAACTAACGAATAGAGAGAAACCAACCAAACATAAGAAGGCCATATATTTAAAAACAGCTAATATCATGCTCAATGGTAAAATACTGAAAACTTTTTCCTTAAGATTAACAAGACAAGGATGTCTGCTTTGCCACTTCTATTTAACATAGTGTGAAAATCCTAGACAGAGCAAATAAGCATAAATAAATAAGTGGCATCCAATTGGAAAGGTTGAAGTAAAATTATCTCCATTTATAGATGACATGATCGTGTATGTAGAAAACCCTAAAGATTCCATTAAAAACCCTATCAGAATAAGTGAATTCAGCAAAGTTGCAGGATACAGTATCAACACAAAATTCAGTTGATTTTTAGACACAATCCAAAAAGGCAATTAAGAAAACAATTCTGTTTGTAATAGCATCAAAAAGAATACTTAGAATAAACTTAACCTAGGAAATCTACAAAATGTAGCTGAAAGAAACTAAAGAAAATACAAGTGGGAAGATAGCCTTTGCTCATGAATTGGAGGGCTTAACATTTTTATGAGATCAATACTACCCTAAGTGATCTATAGATTTTTAAAAATTCTAATCAAAATCCCAATAGTTTTTTGTAAGAAATAGAAACATTCTTTCCAATTTGGTATGGGATATCAAGAGATGCCAAATAGCCAAAACAATCTTGAAAAACAAAGCTAGAGGTCTCACATTTTTAAATTTCAAAGCTGCAAAGGTATAGGAGTCAAAACAATGTGGTACTGGCATAATGACAGACACGTAAACCAATGGAATAGAATATAAACAGCCCAGAAATAAACCCTTGCATATATGTTCAAATAATTTTTGACAAAGGTGTTAAGACTATTTAATGGGGAAAGAATAGTCTTTTCAACATTCAGTGTTGGGAAGCTGGATATCCACATGCAAAAGAATGAGACTGGGCACTACAATCTTATGTAATCTAATCATATACATTGAATCATGCACATGACCATTACTAATCATTAGAGATATGCAAATCAAAAACACCATGAGAAACCATGGTAGAGACCATGCAGTCTCTACCTTGCTGGCTTTGAAGAAGCAAGCTGCCATATTGTGAACTGCCTACTGGTGATGCAACAGGGACTGGGAGATAACCTCTGGCTGACAGCTAGTGAGCAACTATGGTCACTGGTCTGGCCACTTGCAAGGAACTGAATGCTGCTAAAGGCCATGTGAGTTTGCAAGGGGATTTTTCCTCAGATGAGACCACACTCCTGTCTGACATCTTGATTGCTGTCTTGCAGAGGACCTAGCTAAGTTGTACTCAAACTCCTGACCCACAGAAACCAAGATAATAAATGTGTTTTGAGCTACTAAGTTTGTGGAAATATTGTTATGCTGTAACAGACAACTCATATATTGGGAAAGAATAATAACTGGGGCCTATATACTGAACTATTCCTAAAGCTCACACAGGGTTGGAAATTGAGCTTTCTCAGCTAGAGTAAAGAGATTATTTTCTATGCTGAGGAAATTCAATAGAGAATCAAGAAAGGCCAGGACTTAGAAGTGCAGCAAAATTAGCCCCAGAAAAATATTGGCTACTTTAAGCTTGAAATAAGCTTAAAAACAAATCTTGAAAAAAATGAAAGTAATATTTAAGTAATAAATTGCCTGCCAGAGAAAGTCCCAGGAATCTAAAGAAACATCATAAACCCAAGCACTCTAAAATATAAAATTTACAATATTCATTATCCAATTAAAAAAATACTAGACATACAAAGAAGCAGGAAAACATGACCAATGATCAGGAGAAAAATCACTCAATAGAAACAGACCCATAAATAACAGAGTAATGGAACTAGCAGACAAGAATCGTAAAAGAGCTATTATAACTACCTAAAGGATATAAGAAGCATTAACATAACAAGGGGAGAAATAGAATATTTAAAAAGTATAACAAATGGAAATTTTAAAGATGAAAAATGCAATAGAAAATAATATTTCAATAGATGGGATTGCAAGCAGAAGAAAAAATTCATAAATATAAACACATAGCAGATTTTATCAAAATGGATGCATACAGAGAAACAAAACACCCCTCAAAATCAGAGTCTCAGTCAAATATAGAATGTATTAAGTATGTGTATTGGGAGACAGTAGGGTATAGAATAATGACTGAAAAATTTTAAATTTGATGAAATGAGGGCAATGACTAAAATTTTTCTAATTTTATGAAAACTATAAACCTAGTTTCAAGAAACTCAATGAACCACCAGCAGGATGGACACACACACACACACACACACACACACACCAACATCCTTCCACACAAAAAACACATACACAGCATAATCAGATTGCTAAAAACCAGCTATCTAAAATGTAGCCAGAGGAAAAAAGACACAGTATGTAAAGAGCAAGAAATATATTAAAAAAACAAAAAACAAAAAACAGGCTTCCTGTCATAAGTAATGCAAACCAGAAACCAATGGAACAACATCTTTAAGGTGCGAGGCCAGAATAAAATATGCAATGAAAATATCATTTTAAAAAAAGGCAAATAAAAACTTTTTCAGACACACAAAACATGGGAGAATTCATCATCAGTTGAGATTTTTGTGTTTTTTCATACACTGAGTACTCTGGGATTATATCCTGCTCATTTTGAACACTATGCAACCATAAAAAAGATAGTCTTTTAAAAACGTGATTCTGAAACAACAAACAACAGGATATTCATATTAAAAACAACAAGAACAATAAATTTTGATTACTCATAGAATTCACCAAAACTAACTTGAAATATATAAATAAACAAATAATAAACTATATAAAAAGGACATGTAAGAGCATTAAGAAGTCAAACAAAAAAAGGGAGATATTTGAACGAACAATTCACAAGAGATGATATAAGATGGCCAATTCATAAAAATGCTTAACATAATTAATCATCTGAGAAATGCAAATTAAAATCACAATGAGATATCATCATTAGATCAGTTAAAATGCAACACCTAACAACATAAAATTTCAGTGGAGATGCAGAGCAACTGGAACTCTGACGTATCGTTGATGGGAGTGTGAAATTATACAACCACTCTGAAAGACCATTCTGGCTGTTTCTTATAGAGTTATACACACACTTAGTATTTCACATATCAATTTCACTCCTAGGCATTACCAAAAAGAGTGTATTTCATGGCCGGGCACGGTGGCTCAGCCTGTAATCCCAGCACTTTGGGAGACTGAGGCAGGCGGATCACCACGTTAGGAGAGCAAGACTATCCTGGCCAACATGGTAAAACTCAGTCTACTAAAAATACAAAAAATTAGCCGGGTATGGTGGTGCACGCCTGTAATCCCAGCTACTCCAGAGGCTGAGGCAGGGGAATAGCTTGAACCCGGGAGGAGGAGGTTGCAGTGAGCCGAGATTGCATCACTGCACTCCAGCCTGGCAACAGAACGAGACTCCGTCTCAAAATAATAACGAAAGTGTGTTTCCTCACAAAAGACATTAAAAATATTTGTGATAGCCCAAATCTGGAAACAACTCAAAGTTCATCGATTTGTATAAATGGAATTTTGGTATAGATATACAATAGAATACTACTCAGCAATAAAATATGACATATTGGTAAGTGAAATAATGTGGGTAAATATAAAAAACATCATGCTAAAGGAAATAAGTGAGCTGTAAAAGACTATAAATATATGATTCCTGCATAATAGATGAGTCCATGTATAAGAAATTCTAGAAAACACAAAATTATAGCAAGTAAAAATAGATCAGTGGTTGCCTGAGACTGGGGGAGAGGGAATTTAGAAAAACCTAAGAAAGGGCCGGGCGCAGTGGCTCAGGCCTATAATCCCAGCACTTTGGGAGGCCGAGGCCGGCGGATCACGAGGTCAGGAGATAGAGACCATCCTGGTTAACACGGTGAAACCCCGTCTCTACTAAAAATACAAAAAATAGCCGGGCGTGGTGGCGGGCGCCTGTAGTCCCAGCTACTTGGGAGGCTGAGGCAGGAGAATGGTGTGAACCTGGGAGGCGGAGCTTGCAGTGAGCCCAGATCGCACCACTGCACTCCAGCCTGGGTGACACAGCGAGACTCCATCTCAAAAAAAAAAAGAAAAGAAAAGCCTAAGAAAGATTTTTGAGATAATGTGTATGTTCTATAGCTTGATTTTGATGGTTTTTATGTTGATGTATACATTTGGAAAACTTATTAAACTGTATACTTTATATGAGTGGATTTTATTTTATAAAAATTATACCTCAGAGTTGATTTTTAAAAATTTGAAAATTAGAGATAGAGTTAAAAAATAAATATCATTACCCCCATCAAACCTCCAATAAAATTAGAAAAGAAAAACAATTATTCACAGACAACGTAATTGTTACTTAGAAAATATAAGAGACTACACAAACTTCAAATTGGTGGTAATGTGACAATTAGTAAATCAATCAGAATATGTAATAATATTACACTAGTGATTATTATAATGATGGTGGTGATGAGATGTCATCCATAATAGCAACAAAACTATATGTCACCTACAAATAAAGATAATAAAATATGTACAAACATGTTAATGGAAAAAATTATAAATCTTTATTGAAAAACTTAGAAAAACATAGATGAAGCCCTAAATGGAGAAACACCTTATTTGTGTTTAAGAGTACAATATCATCATATAATAATTCTCCTCAAATTCAAAGACATTTCTATCAAAACTTCAGCAGAGTATATCATGGAATTTGATTCATTTGTATGAATTTGATCATGATATTCATACAAAAGAGTAAAAACATTTATTTCAGGACTTATTCCAAGGCTATTGTAATTCAAACAGAACAGAATCAAAAGTCCAAAAACAGATTTATGTACATATGAGAATCTCAAATATGATAGACAAAATTAAAAATGAGGAAATAGTTGTTCAATAAATTGTTCTGGAACAATTGGCTCTCCATATGGAACAATAAGTAAAATTAGATCTTGCTTTACATGCACGCACACACGCATGCACACACACACACGCAATTTAGATAGATTAATGATTTAAATGTAAAAAATGCAAAATTGTAAAACTTTTATAAGAAAGTTTAAGGAAATGTCTCATGGCATCAAAGTTGGGAAATGGCTGGCATAAGTTGTACAAACTCTAAAGGAAAAGAGTAATAACAATAATTTCATTAGAATTACATTTTCTCTATCACAAAAGATACCATAAGGAAAGGCTTAAGGCAATGTGTCCATAATTTAGAACATCATAATCTTTGAAAAAAGAGGAAGAAAAATAAGCCATATTTTCTGCCAAATTATTATCTCCTTTCAGAACACCCTTTTGAATTTCATAAGGAACAATGGTAAAAGAAACTTCTCAGGATTACATCAATCAGAATATTTTTAGTTTTTATACTCATCTAATGATTGGGTTGTAATTTGTTCCTTCTCTGATTTTTGCCTCCTTCTACTTTCTTCTCACATGCTACCTTCATCTTTCTTCCCAGTCTGCATGATTTCCTTGCTCTTACTCTAGTCTTTCCTATCTGGTCCACAGCTGAAACAAAATGTCCTGTTTTGAACTGTATTGAACCTCAATGAAGGAATTTATTTCATGGAATTTTTACACTAAACAACTTTTCTACATGGATAGCAGTCTTATGACTCTGACAATAACCATATCTTAATCTCTTAACTGCAGAAAAAGCTCGACATCTTCTCAGATCATATTAGAAAGTTT